GCCCAAAGTGAGTTCAATTGTTTAAAAAGAATGTTAAGGCTGAAGACCTTTTCAGTTAACCTGGTCAGGTGAGACCCAATGTCCAAAAGCAGCCCGCCTACTGTCACCAGCTTCTTAGCAACAGCCGTGGGCCTCCAGCGACCCTCAGGACTCTTCACCGTTCCCCATCATTGTCCCTGAGTAACCTAACCACGGCAGAGTCACGGTGCCACCAGACATGCCCCCAGGGTGAGTTCATCCTCCTTACCATTGCCTTTGTGACAAACCAGATGTGGTGGATCCAAGGTGACACCCTGAGGCGACGCCGCAGGTGGACACCCCAACTTCTACCCCTTACTCTGCCACTTTCCTACAGCTTGTGCCCTGCTCCTGGACTTTGCACGAAGCAAAGGCTGGCAGCACCACCACCCACTCTTGGTTCCCTTGTTAGAAAGCCATACCATGGCCCTGGGTTACCAGCATCATTACTTACTGTGTCTATTTTCATTTTTCATAGCTGTCCCAACTAAATCAGAGTTGGCAGTGGAAATTTTGGAGAAAGGTCAGGTCCGGTTTTGGATGCAGGCTGAGAAGCTGTCTGGCAACGCCAAGGTCAACTACATATTTAATGAGAAGGAAATCTTTGAAGGACCGGTAGGTTTCATATATTGTACATTTTTATTTTTTTATTTTATGTATTTGATTTTTTTTCCGGTACCGGGGATTGAACTCAAGACCTTGCACTTGCCAGGCAAGCACTTATTCCATTGAGATATCTCCCCAACCCTATTTTATATATTTGGTACAGGGTCTCACTGCACAGCTCGGACTCATAGTGATCCTCCTGTGTCAGCCTCCCCAGTGCTGGGATTACAGGTGTGTACCACCACACCTGGTAGTATAAATTGGTTCTGAAGAATAATAGTTTATGTATTTGGTACCATTGCAGCTCGGACTCGTAGTGAACCTCCTGTCTCAGCCTCCTCAGCACTTGGATTACAGGCATGTACCACCACACCCGGACTTCACAGCTGACTCAGTGCACCTGGAGGCAGAGCTGGTGCAGCCTGTGGTGTCAGGGATCGAACCCCAGTCCTTGTGCTTCCTTAAGCAGGCACTTAGACCACTGAATTATCTCCACAGCCCCATTGTACATTTTAAAATTATTATTGTAGAGCACACTGAGGATGCCCTATAGGAATATGGATAAATTGTCATGAACCTTGCTGACTAATGAGGTAGGGTGGTTTACTTTATTACAATTTTTTTAAAGAAATGAAGGGAATCCACAGATTGGCTCTATCATCTCATCCAAGTGGAACACTTCTGAGGGTGAAAGGGAACACTATTAATAATTTTCCTAGGATCACAGCCAAACCAAGCTGCCTCATGCAAAGTAGGAAGCATGGTCACCATGTGAGCTGCCCATATCCACTGCCTCCCTGGGTGAGCGCTGCCCATGGGCACCTGCATCCCAGAGGCCAGACCTTGTTTTGTCTGTTCTTAATGAGTTATTTAAAAGATGTAGGTTACCCGCGTCAGAAACCCAGCCAACCTGCTGCATTGTATGGGGAAAGCAAATTCTTTATCCAAAGGCTTAGAACAAGCAGTATTTTCATTGCCTTTTTTGGCAACAAATGAAGTATGTCCTTAACTGTCAAACTTTTTTTGTGTGTGTGTGGTACCAGGGATTGAACTCAGGACTTTATGCTTGCCAGGCAAGCACTTATGTCACTGAGCTATGTCCCTGGCCTTGTCAAAACTTTAGACTCAGGATGAGTGGCACATCCTTACAGCTTTGGGACACATGACTGGGTATGTTCTGTGGACTTCTCGTCTCTCTGTGTGCGCCCACATGTCAGCTTGCCCATGTGAACGCAGTTTCCGCTGCTGAGGATGTAGTATCCAGGCCCCCTCGCCCTCCCAGAGCCACCAGGAAGATGGTTTGGGCAGCACCCCGTGCCCTGAGGAGAGCTCAGGACCCTGGCACCGCAGGCAGTGCAGGAGCAAGAACTGGGCCCGGCTAGAGACTGGCTCCCAGCAGGGCATCTGGGCTGTGAATGGCACAGAGCTGAGCCTTCATTCTGTCCTGTATTTTATAGCAAAACTTCATCAACCCAGATGGATGCAGATTTGTGCTGTCTGCACAGGCCCTGAAATTCACCTTGCGCTGAGGAAGAGAGTTGTCCAAACAGAAGAGCTGGCAAGGGCTGTTTCAGCTCATTAAGAGCAGGGTCAACGGCTGAAGAGAGTTTTTAGTCACGTGCTACCAGCAGGTGTTTTGGGCCTGCCTACCCGGCACCTTGCTTGCATTTCCATGTGAACGTTTCCGCGGGGCTGCCTAGAGCTTCCTGCTGTCCTCCTAACTAAAGATAATATTATGTGGAAAGGAAAACAGGAATTTGAAACAAATTTGGATAGCATCTTATGACATGGAATAACCAAACTTTACTTAGACTTAAGAAATTATATCATGAACTATTCAACAATCAATTCTGGTCTAGACCATATATCCATATAATATATTTTCTTCGGAAGGCCAGGGATATAGTTCAGTGACATAAGCTTCTGCCTGGCAAGCGCAAGGTCCCAAGTTCAATCCCCGATACTTCCCTTTGGGGGATACAAAATTCTAAAAATTTGTCAAAATGTATTAAAATTATTATTCTTTGGAGTTGATTGTATTTCACCAGGCTCGTTGTCATCAGGGTAAAATGTCCACCTTACTGTTTTCTCTGTCTGTATCTTTTCACATTAAATGAAGAAATATAAGATGCACATCGATCGCAACACTGGCATAATTGAGATGTTCATGGAGAAGCTGCAGGACGAGGACGAGGGGACGTATACTTTCCAGATCCAGGATGGAAAGGCAACGGGCCACTCCACGCTGGTGCTCATTGGAGACGGTAAGCTCTGCTGGGGGACTTCCTGCCCCCTCTGGACAGGAAGGAGGTCCCCAGAGAGGTAGCAGGATTTGTGTCCCAGTCAAACCCCCATGGCCAAAATGCAGTCCTCTTTTTAAAAAACTTGCTTCATGTTCAGCTGACATCTTTTCACTGGCCATATGTGCAGCGCGTAACGGCTCCCGGCCTCGCCGGGAGTCGGTGCAGGGCCGGAGCGCGCCCTAATCTTTCCTCCCCTCCCCCTTCCCTCCAGCTGCAGGTCTCCCTTTCTTTTGGAAAAGCTCCACCTCCATGTTTCCTATTATCTGTTTTATTTTGCCCTTTAATAATTTCCACTTGTGTCTCTCACGTAAGAGAAACTGCAATGTTCAAGCTTGCGTGTCTCATTTATTTCACTTAACATTATGGCCTCAACTTTATCCTTTTTATCAAAATACAATTTTTGATACATACTTTCCATAGCATTTTATTTTATAAAAATGAATATTTACTTAAAATAACATGAAATTTATCCCCAGCCCTCAAGCAAGACTGCTCTTGATGGTATATATTTTTTAAAAAGCAGGGGCTGGGGAGACAGCCTGGCCATCTAAGTGCCTGCCTGGCAAGCGCGAGGACCCAGGTTCAATCCCCCGTACCACATGCCGCACCACCCAGGACCCTGGGCACACCATGCTGGCCACCAAAACCAGGTGTGGTGGTGCACACCTGTAATCCCAGCACTGGGGAGGTTGAGCCAGGAGGAGCACTACTAGCCTGAGCTGCACAGTGAGACCTTGTACCAAACAAATAAACACATAATAAAAAGCACTTATCCCTAAAATCTTTCAGTGAAAGAAGTTGTAAGACCACCAAGACTGAATCTCAGAAACAAACCATGACATTGTTTAATAGTGTGTACATACTCTCAATTACTTAACTTGAAGAGTAAAACATGCACGAGCATTGCATGTCACTTCTGTGGCTCACACACTATAATTAGATTGCTGCAGTCAGCTGCTTTCGCTACTGTGGAAGCCACCAAGATTTAAGTGTGACATTTAACCAAGGAACGCAAAGGCTGCCACGGATGCTTTTGCAGCATCCAATACTAGTTCACCGTTTCCCAGTTTTATGACCTTGGAAAAGTTACCTAACCTTTCTAAGTCTGTTTCTTCATCTATCAAAGTAAAAACAAGCAGGGTCATCGCAGTGCGTGAGGATCATGATGAGGAATATCTGTCACTTAGCACCGTGGCTGGCATGTGCACTGACACTGTTCAATTCAACTTTATAGTTCTTTGTCTTTCAACTTGTAGTTTATAAAAAGCTCCAGAAAGAAGCCGAATTCCAGCGGCAAGAATGGATCAGGAAACAAGGTAAACTAAGGCGCTGAGTAAGAGGAAATACTCTCACTTTGTATAGAAAACCTTCCAAGATTATTTCCATAACAACTTGAAATGCATAGTATCAATTATGTTAAAAATGCCTAATAAATAAAAATAATTTAAAATATTTATCAAAGATATATACATTAAAATATTTTAAAACTAAATCTGTAATATTGGCCAATTTTATTTCAAACATAAAACACCTTAGGATTTAAGAATGAGCATTGGTTTTGCATTTGTGATTAATGAGGTGATTGCTTATGTCATTAATATTTTATAGGCCCGCACTTTGCTGAGTATTTGAGCTGGGAAGTGACTGGTGAATGTAATGTACTGTTGAAATGCAAGGTAAGAGGTGGATGAAATTTTAATATTTGATACAAGGGAACTAAAGATAAGATAGAACAAGAACAAGAGAAAGGTCAATTTTTTCATCTACATTTGAACTAAAATGATAAGCGACCCATCCTTGCTATTGGGTGTTACAGTAACCATTATATTACAAAACAATTTAAGCTGAATAACATAAAAATGTGGAAAAGCAAAGTGATTGCTCCTATTCATTACCCATGACCTACTTAATAAAGATGTGAGCTCTACGGCCAGGGAGATAGCTCAGTAGAATAAGTTCTTGCCTGGCAAGTGCAAGGTTCTGAGTTCAATCCCCGGTACCGCAAAAAGAAAAAGATATGAGCTCTATTTAAATTATAGGTTGAAGACTGTAAACAGGCAGATCACTACACATTTAAGCTAGTAGTGAGACCCTGAATGCCCTGTAGACCCTTCCCTAAAATACAATCAATCAATCAATCAATCAATCAATCAATTATAGGTTGAGTATTCCTTATCCAAAGTGCTATGGAGCAGAAGCATTCCGATTTTTAGATTTTTTTCTTTTGGAATGCTTGCATATATGTAATGAAGTATGTTGGGGATGTGACTCAGATCTAATATGAAATTCATTTGTTTCATATGCACATAGCCTGAAATAATTTTATGCAATTTTTAAAATATATAACAGTGGAATTTCCCATTTGTGATATCTACTCAGCACTTAGAAAATTTCAGATTGGGAGCGTTTTGGAATTCAGAGTTTGGGGTTTGAGACGGGGTTTGGGCTACCATCAGCCGGGTCTCACAGTGTTTGGGGTTTCAGGCTACATCTATATCTAAGTGGTGGATCTACACCAGAATCATTGGCCTCCATGTTTGGTGGTGAGCTTCTCATGTAAAACAACACAATGACAACAAGAAGAAAGTTTTTGTTTATTTGCTTGTTTGTCTGTTTTTGTTTTGTCTTTTTGAGACAAGGTCTCACTATGCAGTTCAGGCTGGCCTTAAGCTTACTTTGCATCCCAGGCTGGTCTTGAACTCACAGTGATATTCCTGCCTCAGCCTTCCAAGGATTACAAGCATGCAGCACCACGCCCAGCCCAGGAAGGAGAAAGTCTCTGAGAGCCAGGCGCAGAGCACACAGCTGCTTGACAAACAGAGGCTGAGAGGCCCTTCAGGCCAGATAGTCAAACCCTGCGTTCAATTTTTTTTTTTTGTTATTTTCATTTTTAAAAAGTATTGTGGGGTCTAGGGCGATAGCTCTGCAGTCTAAGCACCTGCCTGGCAAGGCAAGGACGCGGGTTTGGTCCCCGGTACCACGTGCTGCACTGGCCGAGGAACCCCGGGCACTTTGTGCCAGCCTCAAACCAGGTGTGGTGGTGCAGGCCTGTAATCCCGCAAGGGGGAGGCTGAGACAGAAGGATGGCTACAAGTCTGAACTGTGTAGTGAGACCCTGTATCAAAAGAATAATAATAATAATAAAATTGTGGAGAAGAAATGGTTGCCAGCAGTTGCATTGTGAGGTTGGGATGGCCAACAGAAACTCCAGAGCAGGATTTGGGACTGGCCGTAGCATGTGGTTGTCATCCTAGGGGTCAGAACCCAAGTGCCCCACTTTCTAGTATGTCCGATAAATTTGAAGGAAAAGTTTACGAGAAACTTGTAAGAAAAATGAGTTCTAGGTTTTGCCCTCTCCGAAAATTGCAAAACTTCTTGAAAGCCCTTCTGCTAGGCTGCAGCTGAAGCCCTTCGGCCCTGGTGATTCCCTTGCCTCTGCCTCCTGAGTGCTGGGACTGTAGATGTGCCAAAGTCAGGTTTTACTGCTGGAAAGCAGATGCTCTTGATTTTCATCCGTGCGTTGGTACCCATTTTATTCTAAACCCCTTTCTCAATTAAAATAGTTTTCCCTTAGAAAGCTGTGCCTTCTGGCTCCAGGCTCAGTACCTTTCCTCTATGCTTTGGTACATTAAAGTTTGGGGTTTGTTTTTTTTCTTTTTCTTTTTTCTTTTTTGACAGAACCGGGGATCAAACTCAGGCCCTTGCGCTTGCCAGGGAAGCGCTTATTCCACTGAGCCATCTCTCCAGCACTGCTTTAGTACATTAAAAACTACTTAGTTTGCCAGGCCTGATGGTGCACACCCATAGTCCCAAGCACTCTGGGAGGCTGAGACAGGAGACAGTTTGAGCCAAGCCTGAGCAACTCAAGACCCCATCTCAAAATGTAAAAGCTTTTCTTTTCCTTCAGAAAAAGGCTTTGGATGTAGCTCTGTGTAAAGGCCTGGCTTCAATCCTCAATGTGGAAAATAAAAGAACCCTACTTATTTCATAAGAAGAATGTCCCCTTAATTCAAAGAGTGTGTTCCCCGTCTAGGTGGCAAATATTAAGAAGGAGACTAATATTGTGTGGTACAAAGACGAGAGGGAGATCTCAGTGGATGAAAAGCATGACTTCAAGGACGGCATCTGTACCCTGCTTATCACAGAGGTAGGTGGCTGTAAGTGTGGGTACCATGTGTTAGGTCCACGCCCTTCATTCTCCTCCAAAGCAGGAAGCCCATTCTGTGATCACCCCGTGCCCTGGGGATTTACCACAGCTATAGGAACCAAAGCTCCCCTCGCTCTGTGGCATGCAAGGTCTCTCAACTACCAACCGGTGCCAAGTGGACTCCGCACTGCTTGGAAGTAGCTCTTCTGAGCCACTTTCCTCATGCGTGAGCAGTGACATGGGCCCTTCTTTGTACATAAGCCTTACACTAACTTCTCTACCAGAAGAAAGATGGCCAGATACGATATTCACTGATGTGCGTGCTTTTACTAACTGCTAGAGCACAGCTTTCAAATGTATATGCTCATTTTCTCTGTAATAAATGAAAGCCTCAGGCAGGCATGGTGGTACATGCCTGTAATCCTTCGAAGGCTGAGGCAGGAGGATTGCCATGACTTCAAGGCCATCCTGGGCTACAAATTGAGGTTAAGGCCAACCAGCCTGCACTGCATAGTGAGACCCTGTCTCAAAAAAAAAAAGGACCTCAATCTCAATTATAGCCATAGAGGGTAAGAATCATAATTATCACCTGGGAAAATGACTACAGGCAGACAAACATTTGAACTGTTCGCCATGGAGGACACTTTCTCAGGTGGCTTTGGTGGCAGTTCTGGGGTCGCAGGCCTTAATGCCAGCACACACTTGGAGCTACACTGAGCTGCACTGCCGTGTATCTGTTCTCCCCTTAGTTTTCCAAGAAAGATGCTGGGTTTTATGAAGTCATCCTGAAAGACGACCGCGGAAAAGATAAAAGCAGACTGAAGCTTGTGGATGAAGGTCAGTTCATGAGTTCTGTGCGCTCGGCGCAGCGTTAGGATCGAGGCCCGAGTGACAAATAAAGACGCGATTTTCCGTCCACAGATTCCAGTTGAATTGAAATTCCAGCAGAGTGAACTACTGGGTTTTTTCCAACATTCTTCACTTTCAGTCTTCGTAGAAGTTGAAAGTATACTTTTGATCCTCAGAGAAGTTATAATTTACAGGTTACTAAGGGATCTGTTTTCATTTTAAATCAGCACTTTTGTTTCACCTCCATAAAAATATTCCAGGATCAAAAGAAAAAGAAAAAAAAAAAAGTTTTGGTGAAGAGCATGTTGGAAAATAGCCCAGAGTAAAAGGGCAGCCAGAAAGATTCATGTATGATGTGTGACACCTCAGAGTTCTTTGCCAAGCAAGAAACAAATTTCCATTTTTCAGAGAGTACTTGGGACAAATACATCAATGTAACAAAAGTCTCCTTGTGATCCCAAATCTCTTAATTTCATTTCTGAACAAGGTCTGTTAAGAATATCACTAACCAACAGCAGAAATCTGTCTTTAATTCCACCGTCTTCCTCTCAGGGAAACCAGTGGCAAAATGTTTAATGGCAAAAGTCACCATCAGGCCAGGGAGGGCCGGGCAGCACAGATGGCTAATTCATTGCGAATTAGTGACCCAGAGAAGAAAGCATCCTGTCTCCTGTCATGTGAGCTAAGGCTTCCTGGGAGTGAGGAAGAGAACTCAAAAGCCAAGACCTCTCACTGTAGCTCCTTCAGTAGAAAGTAAACAAAGTATTAATCACAAAGGATCAGGAGCAAAAGTATCACAGAACACCAAAATAGGCAAAGATCTTTGATAAAAATTTGAGTTATTTCCTCCGAGAGGCCCTAATGAGCAATCAGGCAACAAGTTGTTCCCTGTACAGGACAGGAAATTTTTAAGAGCAGTTTGAGATTTGGGCTGACACTCACGTTCCTGCTAACATTTTGGCTTTGAACCTTTCTTTTCAGCCTTCCAGGATCTGATGACTGAAGTATGCAGGAGGATCGGTAAGCTGACATTTTCTCACACCCAAGGCTTCCTAGTTCTCCTGCTGGGACAGACAGGCATATGGGTGCCTAAGACATGCTGTTCTCTTCTTCCAGCTTTGTCTGCCACAGACCTGAAAATCCAAAGCACCGCCGAGGGCATCCGGCTGTACTCTTTTGTCACATACTACCTGGATGATCTGAAAGTGAACTGGTCCCACAAGTAAGTAATAGAAAGTCACTCACCATGGAGAAACTGTCTCTCCACTGGGGAGAGTAAAGGAAAACAATGGGGGGGGAGAGGAAAGGGTCCCCTTTAGGCAACGACTCTGCTTAATTCTCAGTCTGACTTGAGAACCAAGGTCAGAACCCTGGACCCCTCCCTTGCAGGCCCTCTGCGCTCGTGCTCTAAGATGTGTCCCTGCTCCCAATCATTTTCACAGGGAGCCTCTGGATCCACCCACCTGTGCTGGCCCTGGCTTGCCTCTGCCAGGTGTCCCAAGCCACTCTCTTAGCTGCTGTCTACACCCAGGTCGCACATGCTGTGGTCTAAGAACTGCAGCACTGCGCACCAGACGCCTCTCGTTTCGGGAAGCAGCCCCAGCGTGCAGAGCAGCCGGCAGCGCTGGGCGTCAGCGTGCTTCCTGTGCACATTTGCAGGCTGTGAGTGCTCCGACCACTGACAGGATGGGTGTTTGCACTGGGCAAGTCTGAAAGTCTGCCCCAGGCTGCCTGGGTGGATGGGGTAGAAGAATTGCATTCTAGTGTACCTCTGGAATTTCAAGAGGAAAAATGGTTTCTAAGTCAAACCAGTCGTTCCCTTCCCCACAGCTCCCCTGACCTTTGGGATGCCTTGAGATATCCAGAGCTGGAAGCACACAGAGCTGGTAGAGCTCATCTTTGGGGTGCGGTCACCTTCAGTCCAGGCCTGCCAGGGGTGCTTGAGAGCCCCACTGAAGCTCAGAGATGGTCCTGCAGCAGCCCCAGCGGCACAGGACAGTGATTACTCCTGCTGTGTCTGCAGTGGGTATTGACAGGGTGCTGGGCATTGCTCTGAGCCCTGATGTACCTGTTCTGCTCATCTTCATAACTGCAGTGCAGGGCACTGCAGTGATGAGAAAACCCGGGCTCTCCCGAGGTCACAGAGCCAACGGGTGGGCAAGAGCCATGCCAGGCAGCCTTATGGCATTGCGTACCCATGTGCAAGTTCATGAGGAGTCTAGAATGGCCAGGAGGGAGGGGTGGCAGAAGCGGGCCCGTGGGTGCTCCTTCACAACTGGCAGAGGAGGGACAGTCTGAGGTGCTGTTTGCACAGTAGGTGACCAGCAGTAATGACAATATACGACACATTTCAGAAAGTGACAAGAAGGGCCTTGGAATGTTTCCCCATAGAGAAGTGATTTGTGTTTCAGAAGGTAGATATGCTTAACCTGATTTAAGCGCTACAGAATATATTCATGTGCCAAGAGACAACTTTCCCCACTAATATGTATAATTTTATGTTTTTAGCCATCTGCTGAAAATAAATTTAATGAAAACTTCAGCCAGGGGTGTAGCTCAGTGGTAGAGAGCTTTCCTAGCATGCACAAGGCCCAGCCAGAAAAAGAAAGGTCCAGGTCCAGGTACAGCAGGGCGCGTGACCCAGCTCTGACAAAACAGTTGCTTGTTTTCTTTAAAACAGCTTCATGGGGGCCTGCCCCTTAGCTCAGTTCTTTAAGTGGCTGCTTCAACAAAGCAGTCAGGCTCAGGTTGCTGTGGTTCGATCCCCACAACTCAAGCCAGCCAGTCATGCCTTGAAGGCATTCGGAGGAAAAAAATAAATAAATAAAACAGCTTCAGCTTATGCAGGAAAGTTTACTATTACCATTATTATTCATCATTTCCTGAGCTCTATAAATCCAGTGAAGAACACAAATCTGGCTGCTTTTTTTTTTCTTGAGAATACATTTTAGAAAAGTAATTATCTATGTTATTATAAATCAAATTCTAGGAAGGTCCTCTGACATGTAGAACATTCAAATCTATCAGTCTGAAGAATGAAAGAAATAAAATTATTTGAACCATCAGTCAAAAAGCTTTGTCTCCTCTACAAGAATTATTTGTTCAGAAAAGAGGCATTGTGAATGGGTTTTGAAAAGCTGCCATTAGATGATCGCAGTGCAAACCTCCCTCACTCGGTCTCGTGGCCTCTGTGACCTGTGTGCTTGTGCCTGTGGAGGACGGGGAAGCAGGGATTGTCGCCGCCGTCTTCTGTAGGCATGGTAAAATGAGGGGAAAAAAACCGAAAATGGGTTTTAGTCTTGACTTTGTTCTGATCTTCCACTTTGATCTTAGGCAAGTCATTCAATTTCACAAATCTCAATTGCTGTACATAAAAATAGGACAAAAAACATCTGTTTTAGCTGCAGCGCTTACTGCCCGGCAGGCACCACTCTGCATGGCCGCCAGGCGCTAAAGAGCTCTGGCGTCCTACGGGACAGCTGAGGGCAGTCTTTGTGTCCCGTCCTCTAAGGTGTGCCTATTTCTTGAGTTAAGATGTGCCGGGACATATGAGTTCCTTTACCATGTTATGTATGCTAATTTTTAATATATTTTTAGATATGTAAATATTCTTCAAAGAATGTAGTGCTAGGAGAAAAATGTTAAATATTTGAAAGCTAAAATTTTGTTGGAAAAAACTTTTCTATGTTTTTAAAGTTGTTAATTGCAATTATAAATATAGTACATACTTGTTTCAGAGAATACATTGATAATCTATTACAAAGTCAAAAAGAATATGATATGCTGTAGTTTTATGAGCCATCATGCAACATGCTGGGTACGGCTTTCTAGTCTTTTTTCTCTGTATGATTGTTACTGTGATAAAGTACTTTTGTAAACTGCGTTTTCTTATTTCCTCGCAGTTTTACAGTTTCTTCGTGAAGTTTAGCGACATGGGCCTATCCATCCCTTAGCTCTTCTGTCTAGCGCAGGGGCATGCTAGACAGCGTGGTCACTATCTCTGGGCTGTTTTCCTTAGATCCCCGTTACAGAGCATGCAGAGCCTGCATCTGTTTGTGATCTGCTCCCAAACACTGAGAAACTCACACCAGGGACACAGGCCAGGCCTCGCTCACATTGCCAACCTCTCTGCCTTTCGTTTCTCTCTGTTCCACCACCCACCATATATTTACTTAGGTTTTAAATAGCTTTGCAACAGCCCATGTCAATAGACATCAGCCACACACGCCCCTCTGTACGTGCACTCCAGACCAGGGTATAAAATGTGGTTCATAGTCGTAGATCATCCGCAGGAAGCGTGTAGCAGAAGTCTGTAGCCTGACTGTGTAGCTGTAAAGATGCAGCTAACTCCACGAGAACACAAGGCAAAACCAAGCCGATTTGTGCCCCTGAGATTCATTGGAGCACTTCGCCCTGGGCTGTTTTGAGAGTTAAGTGAATGTTTAGACCCTTAGAGCTCTCTCTCGGAATCCAAAGCTGTGCCTCAGGGGCTACCGTTTCTCCTAAGCAGAATATCAGCAGATGCGGATCTTAGGTTTTCTGAAGCCTATAAAAGTTTATGGTAAGACCTTTGCTAAGAGATGGAGGACCACAATGCTGTGCAGAAAAGCAGAGAATAACAGTGCTTTCTTTGATTTGAAACAGTGGGACTGCTATTAAGTACACAGACAGAGTCAAGAGCGGGGTCACCGGGGAGCAGATCTGGCTACAAATCAACGAGCCCACTCCAAATGATAAAGGGAAGTATGTCATGGAGCTCTTTGATGGCAAAACCGGACACCAGAAAATGGTGGACCTTTCTGGACAAGGTAAACAAGCCTGCTGCAGGCTCAAGATTGCTATGGAAAAGCAGATCTTTGTAGTTTTTCTTAAAAGAGACATGAAGGGGTTTATTAGGTAGAAATTTAGAAGTACACATTCAAAGACATGGGTACTTGAGAGAGAAATATGCTATAGTTTGGAGCTGGTAATATTTGCATATTTTTTGGCAGTGGAAATCTGGAGGATTTCTAAATCTGTAGAATATTCTGTCTCAGTCTTGGTTTACAGGGAAAAAGATGACTCCCTTACAGAAAGAGCTGTACGGGTGAAAGATGTGAGTGCCACCGTTTGGTTTTGGTTTTTTCAATAGGTGACCTAAAATGTTTTGTCTAAAAATATTTTTGTTTCCTTATCATAAAATCAAGTTTCTGACCTTTACTTCATCAACTGAGGTAACTTATAAAGTTAAGAATGTGGGGTATGATCGGTCCAGAAGTCTGAACAAACCCAGGGGACAGTGGCATGGTGTCCTCAGGAGATTCTGACGATGTCCTAGGGTTGCCTGCTCCTTACAATATAACTTCTAGCTATGATTTCCTACCCTCCTTTGTACCTACCTTTGTCGTTTTCTCTCTTACCTCTCCCCCACCCTGAGACTGTCTCCCTAAGGCTTTGACCCCTTCTTAAGGGGTGCAGGAGGGCCAAGGACCCACTTTCTTATAGCTGCTTCAGGTGGAGGCGAGGCTGGCTGCTGCCTGCTCGGAGGGAAGCCTCACCCTGGCTGAGCCAAAGGACACAAAGGAAGATGGGGCTTACTTTGTGCTTTGACAAACCATCATTTTTTGATAGTCTGGAAAACGGCAAGTCCTTGACACTGAAGCTTTATTTTATAACCACAGCTAAATATTTTAAGTATAATATTGATGAATCGTAGCTCAAAAAATTGTAGGAGTCAGACAAAATTAGGCAGCATTTGGCATAAGGCTTTTATCTTTGATATGAACCCAGGTACAACGGGAGAGTTGAAAAGCATATAGATCATTTGTGTTTTGTTAAAGAAATCTAATGTTCTTTTATTTTAATATAACAACGGCAAAGAAATACACAACATAAAGATTTCTATAATTTTATGGCCATTGTGCCATTAAAACGTTTACTCTAGGACGCAGAGCTTGGACCCGACCCCTGTTTGTACATCTGAAGACCTGCTATCCTAGCTGGCTCCAGAGCATATAAACATACAAGATCTGAAGTAGATAGCAGAACATTAGCTTATAGCACAAAGGCAACAACGCTTAGAGTAGAAGATTTATATCACCGTACAGACAGACAGCCTTCCCGAGGGGGCTCCTTGAAAGTGCATTAGAATAACATAATGGCGCTCTCCCATACTACGGGGTGTTCTGCTACATTTCTGCAGAACTCGTGGAACTGAGAGCCACAGCTTCTGCGGCTATGTCCCGGTACAGCTGCCAGCCATGCGTGGCTGCTATCATAATAGAGCCCCTTTTTATATCATTTTTTAAAAATTTCCTGCTTGGTGTTTAAGACTTTTTTTTTTTTTTTTTTTTTGTATTTTAGAGAAGGGTCTATAGGGGGTTTAGGGTCTCACTACTAGATTGGACTTGTAGTGATTTGCCTGTTTACAGCCTCCCAAGAGCTGGAATTATAGGCACGCACAGTCTCAGTTGCCAGCATGGTAGGCCTAGAGATCAAACCCTGGCCTCTGCGCCTGCTTGCAGATGCTTTAGTATGCTGAGCTATTTGGCCAGCCCTTAAAGCTAACTCATAGCAAGACTTGTGCTCATCAAAATGTGCGTGTGTGTGTGTGTGTGTGTGTGTGTGCATGTGTGCGTGTGCTTGTGTGCGTGCGTGTGCATACCAAGATCAGTGAAGGCTCTTCAGAGGTAATACTTTTAGGCCCAGGTGAGGAGCCTTCTAGCTCCTCTAGTTTTTCCTAGAAAACCTAGTCTTTTCAAAAAGAACTGGAAGTGGAAAGAAGCCATTGCGTTGGTGATGTCAGAGAACAAAATGTCAACGATGAAGCTTGAGAACCCAGTGACTCAGTGACTCACAGAAGGGCGGCAGCTGTGACTGAGCAGGGCCACCCTCCCCCTGGGTATGGCAGAGGAGTGGACCTAGGAGACGACACCGGGCACGAGCAAACGGGCACGCACACCACTGCCCCGAGCCCCTCTCTGGGTAGAGTTTTCTGACACACCGGCACAGGGCGATTGGCCTCTCCCCCAGCAGCCGGGGGCCCCACTTTAGGGAACCCACCTGTTCTCATGCTCCCACTGATGGCAGGGCATCTGGCAGAGCGAAGCCCTGCGTTGGTCTGGTTGTGTAGTCCTGGCTGGGAGCTCAGGCCCTCCAGGTGACAATACCTGGGCCTGGCGCCGGGAAGCCTGACTACACCTGTGCGCAGGAAGAGACATAGTGCTGTGTGCGTCTCCCCTTGACCCCCAAAACCGCACTCCTAGAGCACAGAGGAGCTGAAAGTGCAGATGAGGGTGCCTGGTGTTCCACTCCTCGTCTCAGCCCCACCAGGGGATGTCGGGAGTGCCCCTGCACCCCTCCAAGGCTGGAGCTTGAGGCACCCTCTCTCAGAGTTAGTGGTTGCCACACAGACGTGCTAGCTGTCCAACAGGAGCCTGTGACATCAAGTGTAATTCCTAAGAGGCAAGTTTTTGTCGCTCAGGATGTGTAACAGACAACCAGCTTCTATTTGAAACAGACCCATTCACATTTTTCTTGAGTGGACCTAATCTCTGCCTTTTGACCTAACGGGCTCAGCTAAAAACCTCTAAAGCTACCCTCCCGACTTTTCTGCCTAGAAATGCAGAGCGCGTCCGTGTGTTAGGTGTGACCCAGCACAGCGACCTTGCCGCGTGAGCGTGGTGCAGGGCCCGTGCGCGGAAGTGCGCAGTCAGTTCTGGCGAGCAGATCCTAACTGTGCTTTTTTTCTCTTAAAGCGTACGACGAGGCCTATGCTGAATTCCAGAGGTTAAAGTAAGTGCCCGTCCTGGCAAATGCCACTGCGTGCAGCAACCTCCCTGGGACCCTGGGGCTGAGCGCTGGAAAGAGTCCTTTGTCCCGAGAGTGCCACCACAGTGCACAGCCGGAGGTCCCGGGCAGTGAGAGGCAGCCCAGGTCAGCTGGCTCTAAGTAGCGCTCAACACAGTCTTCTTTGTTTCTCTGTCTGTTTGTCTCTCTCAACCTCAGACAAGCCGCCATCGCGGAGAAAAGTAAGTAGGCCGCTGCATGTGGACCGGAAATGGGCTTTCCTCTGCTCCTAGTAAGGCTGCGGAGGATGGGCGGGGAGACAAGTGGTGTTCTGGCTTCCCTCCCTTCCTGGCAGACCCCGAGGTCTGGCATTTGCTTTCACTTTGGCCTGGCTGGTAGGCATGTCTAGGGAGAGAAGTCTCGGGTTACACTGTGCAGTGTCCCCCAGCCAGCCCAGGACACTCTGAGGAATCCCCTGACTGCAAATCACGGGACAGATTGTTGGACACAGTGTAGCGGGAGAAACTCAGGCAGTGTGAGAAAAGAAATGAAACATTGTGAGTCTGACAGCGGGTAAATCCCTGCAGGCTGTCTCCAGCCAGTGCTGGGCCCAGCCTTGCCTGAATGGGCCCTTTATGCTTCTCTGCCCGGCGCAGCGGCCAGCATGCAGCTCACGGTGTGCTCCCGCTGTCCCTGTCGCCATCTGCTTCCCTTGGAGAGATCTGTTGAGAACCCCAGCCGCCCTGCCCAGCCGCAGAATCCCAAGAGCCTGGGGCTAGGCCAGTGCATTGATTTGGTTTCTTTCTCAAAACATTGGATACAACTCTAGAGCCAAAGCCAAGCCCAACCGAAGGAGAGCAGGGGAGGCAGAATCAGGGGTGTTGTCACCCTTCCTGCCCCAGGCTCTCCAGGGACTCTGAGCCTCCATGCTGTGCTCCCCTCTCTGTCCTGGCTCAGGGCCAGTGTCCCTGAGGTGCTCCGCGGTCAGGGCAGTGCCCACCTGGCCGCAGAGCGGGTCAGGAGCTTCCTGGAGCACTGGGCAAGCCCCTGTCAGCCAAGCTAAGCCCCTGTCACCTGGCCTTCCAGGTGACACTGGTAGAGCTAGAAGAGGCACAGGGTCCTCTGCTCTGAGACTTTTCTCCTGAATAAGCCAGGCATGCTCACTTTGAACACAGTCACCCGCCCTTCCCTGTTCCCCTCCTCCTCTGGGGGACACAGGAATCCAAGCAAGCAGGGAGCAGCTCTGCTCACCCAGAGTCCATGGGTGTCATACTAACTGCACCCCCACGCCACACCTTCAGGGTGCTGAAATGTCACTTGGCGGGTCATGGGGAGCCGCTGGTGTAATGTCCTCAGCAGGAGGAAGCAGTGTGGTGTCAGCTCAAGCTTCAGCTGACTTTATGGAGCAGGGAGTTGTAGAAACCAGGATAGGGAGTCTCAGATTAACTGGCCCAGAAGTCGTGAGGCTGTCAGGGCCAGAGAAGAGGCCCAGCACGCATTACAGGAAGGCCCCTTCCCCGAGGGCTCTGGCATGTGCACTGGCTGAGGGCACCATAATGGATTTCACGCCGTCCCGGCCCTGCTGCTCAGCCGTGGACGGTGGCCTGCACATGCCTGCTAGGTATCCCAAGGAGACCAGACAAGGAACCGTGAGCAAAGGCCTTGGAGGAAGCCGGCTTGCTCGGGCCTCACCCCCCCCCATTTCCCTTCTGTCATGCCCCTCCGTGGGACCCCAAGAAGAGGCCACTTCAGGCCCCAGCCTGTCCCAGAGGAGCCTGTCCACTCCTCAGCTTAGCTCTGCTCCACTGCCGCAGGGTCAGGTGCAGAGCAGGTCCCCCTGGGACACTGTCATCCTGAGCTGGTCTTTCCTTATGGCTGGCAGCACCCACTCATGCTACGTGTGGATAAAGGAGGGTTAAAGCCCACAGCTGCTGGGGCATTTTCTTTTGCATATTGAAAAGAGCTTGTATGGTTGGCGTAGATTGTGCGGGATACTGGTCCATGTGCATCAGACATCTTAAATCTTTTTGGTCCCCTTTCCCTACAGCCCTCCCTGCTCCCTCCAACTCTTCTTCCTGATCCTATTTACCAAAGCCCTGTTTTCACTTTTTTCTCCAATTCTCTCTTTTAAAAAACAAACAAACAAAAAAATCCCTTTTCTCTTTCTTCCCACGTCCCCGCCTCCATCTCTTGTTATCCTTCCCACTGGAAAAAGATCTTCCCACTCCCTGTTATCACTTGGTGTTTTGCACTGCGTTTGTGCTTTGTGTCTTGAGCCCTGTAGGAAGCATCTGTCAGGAGAGGGAAAGCTGAGTTGAGTTTGTCCCCAATCATCTAATGGAGGCATCACTGTGCATGCAGTGACTAACAGAAATGCCTGTGCTTGCAGATCGTGCCCGCGTGCTGGGCGGGCTCCCCGACGTGGTCACCATCCAGGAGGGCAAGGTGAGTGCGAGGGAGGGGCCCTGCCCAGCCATGTCCCTTCTGTGAAGATGACGTGTGCCAGGCCTCTCTCTGACTTCCAGCTTGACCAGAATAGCCAAACACCCGGTGGAAATTCGGCCCTCTTTGCAGTACTCTTAATGCTTGGTAGGCCAAGCCTCAGCAAGGTTCCCCCTGTAGGCCGGTGTGGGCCACTGGCTGTCTCCCCACAGTCCCCCTCTAAGGGTCACAAAGTGCAGGTGTTGCATCAGCGCCCCATGAAAACAAGAGGCTCTAGCACAGCAGGGTGTAGACAGACCACACCATCCAGCTGGAAATTCATCTCTCTCTGATTGTATTTTAAATAGCCATTGCCCGGTGTAATAATCTCCCTAAGAGTTTCAGTAAAAGGAGTTTAACTCAGCAGCCTTGGGCAGAGAGACCTAGGGGAGCACAAGCCCTTTGCCTCCAGAGCAGGGCCCTCGGGTCAGGACTGGGGAGCCCATCAGGCTGATGAAGGTGCCTGAGCCAGCTCCTCCCCAACGCCCCAAGCTGCTCTTGCTTCAGCTCTTTCGGTTTCCTCCGGACTCTGGGTTGCCCTGAGAATGGAGAGAGAGGGAGGGAGCCCCTCAGCTCTAGGATGCAAATCTGAAGTGTGGAATGGAGGTTTTCCTGAGGCTTAATGTGTTTGCTAGGTTTGTGTTTAATGTAGTTAAGTTTTAACCCCCGAGTAATCAAAATTCCCCAAATCATATGCCTGGACTGCTCCGAGTTATTTAACAGTAATGATTTGACTCGGGGCTTTCTTTTTCAAATACATTCACAGAATAATTCAGTGTGCGATGCTGACTGATGGTGGGGTGGATGCAGGGTTCTTGGCCCCCCATCATCTTCCCTGCCCACCATGCGCACGGCAATCTGGGCCAGCCAGAGAAAGACACTTAGGCTCTTAGTCTGTCGCCAGCCCTCATTCTTTCTTGTTATTGCTGGGTTTTGGAAACAAATTGAAGTATAGAGCTTAAAATGTGAAGTGAGCTCAATGTTATTGCCAGCCAGGGCAGGGAAGGACCACGGTGAAACATCATGACAGCTGTCAGAAACGTGTAACGGAGAAGGGGTCTCGACAGCACGCCCCCAAGCAGTCCGGCAGTTTCTGGGGGAAAGGTGAAGCATGCATTCACCAGTCTGGAGACTACACGGGCACGAGCCTTAGGAGCACGGATGGACCTGGCGCTGTCCTCAGCCGTGGAAGCCAGCTGGTGATGGAGCCGCAGCTGGGGTAGCCCGGGGGGCGATACGCTGAGGGGAGAGGCCACTCCAGTAGTTCACCCACGGGAGATCCATTTCCATGGCATTTCCAAGATGACAAAACTTCCGCGATGAAAAGCAGAACCAGTGGTTGCCCAGTTAGGAAGAGGCTGGGAGATGGGAGGAGGGTAGCCAAGGGCCTGATGAGAAAGGGACAGCTGTGAGTCTCCAAAGCACCTGCACCCTGGAGAGGGGGAAGCAGAACCAAGCCCGCCCACCAAGGCAGCTGAGTGTGGACAGGTGGGGGAGGGCTAGGTTTAGCAGCAGTCGTGTCCGTATCAGGGCCCTGGCAGGCGATGCGGCGTGCAGGGCCTTTATTACTGTTTAAGTGTGTGTGCGCCTAGGAGCATCTAAACATGTTTTCAGTTGAAAAAATACAAGGTAAAGTAAAACTCTTGCCTACGTAGATAGGAGGTTTGGGGCCCAGGCAGGGATATTTATTTAGGGTGTGCTTCAATGGAGAACTCTGCAGCCACCATGCATGGCCTGGGGAACTGGAAAATGACAATTAGTGACAGTTAGTGATGTTCTCTGGAACAGCTGTTCCAGGGCTCTGGGATGCAGAGGTGGGCACAGTGATAACTGGACAGGGAGACTCCTCAGCACAAAGGCCGGTGGGTATATGCGAAGAGAGTGGGGGTGGGAGAGAACTCCCCGTGGGCATGAGGACAGGGCACCCCAAAGCCCCTGCCTCAGAACCCACTGAGTCATTGCGGCTCTAATTCCCAGCAGAGTGTCCCTCTGCCCCACCACGTGTCTGATGCGTCCCCTTCCCTCCCACATCGCAGGCTCTCAATCTCACCTGCACTGTGTGGGGCGACCCGGCACCCGAGGTTTCCTGGCTGAAGAATGAGCGGCCGCTGGCCTCCGACGAGCACTGCAGCCAGCGCTTCGAGGGCGGAAAGACGGCCTACTTCAGCATCGCGGGCGTGAGCACTGCCGACTCGGGCAAGTATGGGCTGGTAGTCAAGAACAAGTACGGCACAGAGACCAGCGACTTCACGGTCAGCGTGTTCATCCCTGAGGAGGAGGCCCGGGGCACCACGGCCGACCCCCAGAAAGGCGCCCCAAAGTCCAAGTGAGCAGCAGCCTGCAAGGGGCGGGAGTCAAGAAGAGCCAAGATGACCTCCTGTGTGTGTGTGCCTGCAAGTGGGTGTGAGTGGGTGTGCGTGTGTGAACAGTGTGGGGCAAGGACAGGGAAGTACAGCCAGTGTGGTGGTGCACGCCTGCAATTCCAGCACTCGGGAGGCCGAGGCAGGGGGATGTCAGAGAGTTCTAGGCCAGACTGGCTGCATTACATAGTGAGACCTTGTCTAATTTTTTAAAAAAAATAATAGTCCTCTGACTTTTTTGCACTGAGTGCTGACCTGGGAGAAAAATTGTCAAATTTTTTATTCCTATTTAGAAAAGAAAAGAAAAAGAAAAATCACCAACTACTAAAACTTTGTTCTTTACCTGCAAATTATGAGTTGAAAAAATCCTGCTGGTGTCACAAATAATAGGAAAAAGCCAGAGTAGTATGGAGGGATGTGTGTGGTGGTCAGAGATCGGAGGGTGTGGTATGCAACGCAGCTCTGCCCGGGTCCCAGAAGATGGCCCGGTGCTGGAGGCTGTGTGTGCGTGCATGTCGGGATCCACGTGCATTGACTCTGTTAGAAGCCCAGGCCTGGGCCTCCTCACTCCCAATAAACCATGCCCAGCTCCTTCTGTGTCTCTGTGTTTCACAGCTCCATGCCTTGGTCGGTGGCCTTGGGTGGCCCTGCAGCCCCTGCCTGATACTGCTGGGTCCATGTGCCCACTCACACTCCTGCTGGTGAAGCAGGACTACAATGTGGCCATGGGGCCAGAGTGGGCACCGTGCTGTCACTGCCCTGGCCCATCACCTGCTCTGGGACTCACGCCCCGCTCCAAGCTTGGGGCCCCAAGGACTGCTCTCTGCAGGAGTGCGCTCCAGACCCCACGGGCACCCCAGGTGAGGGCCCTGGGGCAGAGCTCCTCCAGTCCCCCCATGATGAACTTGACTGCTCTGGGCTCTGAGGGGTTGGCCCTGGCTCCTGCTGCACCATCCCGGCCAGCTGGGAAGAGGGGCAAGCACACTCTTCTGTTGGAACCATCTCCTCAGGACAGCTCCACTCCCGCCAGCTTCCCTGCACAGTCCCCTTCCCTGCAGCCTGCGAGCACCCTGATCACCCCTGAGGGCCAGCAGCCTTGGAGAAGGAGTTCACACACATGAGCCAGCCATGGTGCCGCACATCTGTGACCCGGCACCCCGGAGGCTCAGGCAGAAGCATCACTGAGAGCTTGAGTCGAGACTGGACTGCACCGTGAGACATACACATACATCACATGACCTTGGGGACACATTCAAACACAGGGCAGGGCCAGAGTAGAGGTGTAGTAGGCTGGGAGTGGGGTGGGGGCTCCTAGGCACCTTCAGGCCAGAAAGTTGCACACCATGGACTGACCCAGCTGGGAGTCCAAAGCTGCCATGGTGACAGAGGATAAGGCCCTGGCAGGCATGAGATGCTGCCCCAGCCTTGGTCAGGTGGTGCTGGGGATGGGATCTGAGGTGTCCCCAAGTGTGTGCATCAGAATCTGGGTCTCAGAGAGGGGCTCCTGGTGGGGCCTCCAAGGAGGGAGGCATCCCTGTGGGTCTCATTTGTGCTCTGCAGTGGGGGCTGCCATTTCCCGATGCTCCCAGGAGTCCGGGCTGGCCAGGAGAGCATCCCTCCCCCACACCCCACACCACCTGCCGGTCCTCGGCCAGAAGTCAGGCCAGTGGAGTTGCCCAATCTTGCACTTCAGACTCCAAGACCGTGAGCTAAGAACCTCTTTCCTTTAGAGAGTTACCAGCTTCAAGTGTTTTATCAGAGTAACAGAAACATAGACTACTCCAAGGTAGTACCCACCTGTAATCACAGCGCACCAGAGGCTGAAGCAGGAGAATCACCTCACCTACATAGTGCATTCCAGGCCAGCCTGCACCACATGACAAGCCCCTGTCTCAAAAATAAAACAAAATGGCCTAATATGGCAGATGGCAGAGTTGCCTAGGGCTCAGATGGACCTAGAGGAAGGTGGGTGGCCGGAAGCAGCCTGAAGTTGTCCCTGCCTTGCCGGTCAGGCTGCCTCTGGACAGGTGACCCAGAAGGAAGACGCCACCAAGAGGGCACTGCCAAGGAGCTGAGCATCAATGTTCCCAGCACAGGTCTCCCAGGGCACGAGGCCCTGACTCCCCAGTGACTACACCCCACATCCCTGAACTACCAGCCCCAGTGTGGGAGGGGGGTACGGGGGAGTGGAGCAGGGCATGGCCAGGAGCAAAGGACCTTGGGTCACGTGAGCAGAGCTGCAGCCCGTGCTGAACTGTGTGAGACTCAGGAAGTCAAAGCGCCCTGTCACCAGGGGCTGGACGGCCAAGGTGACCAGGAGAGAAATGACAGTTGCGTTCAGAGCTCTGCAGGCTGGGACTGGGTTTCTCAGGCCCTCAGCGCTGAGGGTTGCTTCAGACCATAGAGTGACCAATTAAATCACCTATGTCTTGGTTTGGTAGCTTAGGTACAAGCTGCTATTTCTAACCAAGAACGTGTAACACGAGCTGGGTCCAGCAACTGAATGCCCCCAAGTTGCGCACCTCTGGGACCCACTAAGTGTAAGCACTTGTCCCAGGGAAGCAGCTGATGCACACAAGAGACCACCCAGAGTTGTTTCTAGAACTAATAGATAGTAAGGAACAAGTCGTAACGCTTTCCTAGGTCCTTCAGGTTTAGCATCATAATTTTATTTTTCCTATCCCAAAATACACTCAGTGGAAAAATAATTTTAAAGCTGCCTTTCCTATCCTTAAGTTCCCTTTAATTTGTCAAATTGTATTAATTCACATACTCCTGTTCTTTCAATTTTACTTACTCCTGTTGTCTGACCTTAAAACTTCCCAAGAACTCAAGTAAGTAGAACGCCCTGCAAAACTAAGCATTTAAATATGAAGGACTGGGGATTCTCTTCCGTGTTCTAGGGTGCATACCAACTCACAGCACAGGTCACAGTCACGCATTCTAGGTTCAAGTCCCAAGCTGAGCCGTCCCAAGGCCACGTTCTCTGAGAGGCTGCACACGTGTGGACCGCTCACACACCAATGCTACCAGCTGTGGGCCGCAGGCCGCACAGCTTCCAGTGCCCATGCCAGAGTGGGGGATGTGAGCGGCTGCCCATGCGCCCGTGCAGAGCTGTGCTGAGCGCAAGAAGGCTTCTGGAAAAAAGGGGAAAAGTAAAAATACCACTGGCTGTGTGCAAGCTTATTGTCTGTTCAGAGTGGCTCCAGGGAGAAAAATCCAGCAGATTCTTTAAGTCAGAGCTGCATGCATGTGGGGTCTACATGCACATTACCATGAAGGACAGGAATCCCAAGCCAAGAAATCCCATTTTAAAAGGTCAATGAGGTCCAGTGTGGTGGTGCACACCTGTAATCTTAGCACTTGGGAGGCTGAGGCAGAAGAATCATTTTGAGTTCAAGGCCAGCCTGGGCCACATAGAGTCAAAGCCCAGTCCGAACTACATAGGGAAACCCTGTCTCAAAGACATGACAGAAGGCTGGGGTTATAGCTCGGCAGCCTAATTGTCTTCCTGGCAAGGGCAAGGTCCCAAGTTCAATCCCCAGTACAAAAACAAAACAAAAACTTTCAAAGACAAGACAGAAAAATCAGTATCTGGGGCCTCAGAGAAGCAAATGCAAAACTGTACTACCAGGGGCTTCTGCACCCACCCAGAAAAAATTGTCTTGTGAAAATTGTTCTCTGCCTGGGGTCGGCGAGGCCTGGCTGGGCAGGCAGTGGGCCTGGGGGTCTCTCTGCTGGCTGGGGGCCGAGCTGTGCGAGCCATGTGCAGGGCTGGGGCACCGTGAGTCCTGCAGCTCGCTCGGGTGCAGCCTGGTCCCCCTGGCCATGCGCAGGTACTGTGCTCTCTGCCCGCGCCAGTACCTGAGTAAGGAAGTGGCTCAAGCACAGGCCGCATGCATCGTCCAGGGCTGAGGCAGAGGGATGCTCAGAGCAAAGGAAGAAAGAGGAAAGTGAACGAGGGAAGGAAACAAGCAGAGGACCTACAACTGAGTGTCAGGCAGAAGCAGGAGCTGGGGACGTGAACACCGATCCTCACGCCCAGCCTATCTGGTCTGCAGGAGAAGCAGTCTCATCTGTCATGTGGTTAAAATACAAGACTTGCTTTTCTTCCAGCCGTGCAGGCAGCAAACACTGCCTCAGCTTGCACGTGGCCAGGCTGTGTCCCTGGTCCCTGCCTTATCCCCGGGAGCGGAAAATCACCAGCAGCTTCGCCTCCTGCACCCAGCACTCACGAAGCGTGACGTGGACAGGCGAATCCCTGTGAAGCCAGGGTTTTCCAACTGTGGCAGCACCAGGGGCTGGGACAGAAGGCAGGAGGGAGGGAGACAGGGAGAGAGGAGCAAAGATCCGTGTTGATGTCCACGCAGGAAGGCAGGCTCTGAGAAGGGGCAGACATCCCCTCCAAAGGTTTAGCAGGCTGTTTCCCACTTCAGTGTCCCCAAGCCGCTCTGTCCTGAGGTCAGCGCTTCCATGGAGCTGTAAGGGTGAAGCTGAAGACAGCTATCAGTTTCAAACCCAGGACAGCGGAGACACAGGAAGGCCCCGAGGAAAAGCATAGCGAGGGGTCTTGCGGGAGAGCCTCAGAAACATTTTATAAGCATCTTACGATACAGTCACAATCTCCTTAGCCTGGAAACTGGACCTTGGGATCACCAGACAGAACTAAAATGATAAGATGCCTTCCTACCTGAAAGCTGAACATTTCCAGTAGATGTTCAAACCTTTAATGATAAATAATTTTTTTAAAAAATAAGTCAAGAAACTAGAACTTAGAAAGAAAAAGCCACATAATAGCTGAAACATGTCAGTAGCATGTATAGAAATCATCGTACATTGTTGTGTGGTTGGACTACGAAGTAAAGATATTATTTATCATGTAGAGATGTTATATTGAGATATAAGTAATCTCGCATTGTGGCTGCAGAGCTACAAACAAAATAGGAGTTAGGAGAGTTGAAGTGTGAGAACACTGCATGAGGACTCCGGCGCAGCGCAACCTCTGGAACTGCTCCTCGCTTCTGTGACAGCTGCAGTCCTGGAAGTGAGCCTGTGCCTGGTCCCCACAGGAAGCGTGGGACAAAGACAGGGCTCAAAACAGGAGCCAGGTCCGGGCAGCTCCCTTTAAATGAAATGGAAAAATTTCAGAATGTGTTTGTTTCTATA